ATGGCCAAAATAGGGTCAGTTTGAAACTCAAAACAATGAAGAATGTTTTATCCAGTGAACTGAGACTGTTTGAAATGTGTACTCTCGGAACTCTGTTAAAAATTAACTTAACCTATTCTTTCTTGTACATTGACACTCGCCCCAAGCCTCTTTCTTCCCCTATAAAAGCATCTGTAAATAGGCTGATTAGTTGAAGAAGATATTTTTACATGTCTTCCCAATGTGACCACACTGTAATAAATCCTTTCCCCTCTCACCAATACCTTTGCATCTGTCTGTTTTGTTGAGTGGCAAAGGATCAGACCTGCTTTGATCACTGGACCAGGGACATAGGCCCCTCATCTGGCAACAGTTTTGGCGAACCAGGCAGGTGCACTTGCCTAATGGCTATAACCAGTGGATGGGCCAGTGCTTCGTGTTGGCTTGCCCCAGGTAGGGGACTTCTGAGAGGACTTCTGGCAGCTGCTGGAGCCATTCTTATCTCTGAAACTCCACTACTGTGTCCTCCCTAACCTGGTGCCTGGCTGCTTTAAATGCTCTTTAATGATGCTATGAGAGGAAATGAGGGACTGGGTTTTGATCTGTTCCCCATAAAGTCCTACTGACAGTGGAAGTCGGGATCTTCTGTCTGTAGTTTGGGCTCCTGGCAAGCCAGGTATGGGTCATATGTCCTTGGCCTTAGCGTATATTATTCACCACCATTTGAGTTCCTGGTGAGCCAGTTTGGGCATTTGCCATGTTTTTGAAGGGAAGACTGTTGTTTTGGCAGGTTTAAACATCTGCCATTTGTTTTAGAAGGAGTTACTTATCCATTTGAGGTTCCATTTGAAGAAGACAAAGAGCTAAGGTTTGAAGGACACCAGGTTTGTTTCTGACATGTTAAGAATAGAGTGCACTTCTGAGTTCCAACTGAAAGTCCTTTAGGACAAATATTAGCATGCTGGCCTCTTAATAGTATTATTTTGTGAGTAACTCATGTCCGTCTAGTTGAATTTGGAAATGTAGTAAGTTCTCTGTGCATTTTTCCCCCTCTTTGTTATGCCTACTTTATTTATTTATTTATTTATTCCTCTCCATTCATATGTGGCTTTAAGATAAGAGATTTAAGGCTGCTTGGAGAGAGTGTTTTCTTACTCAAGTTCAGCCAGTTCTGACTAAATTGTAAACATCTCAGAGTTAACTCCTAAACTCAAATGAAACAGAAAAGGAGAAAAAATGCTAAAAGGTTTTTGAAAAACTAAACTGGTAAGTTGTAAGTGCTTTTGTTTGTGTATATGTTTGGGGATGCTTTGAGGGGTGCATGGGAACTTGAAATTAGTGTAAATTCATTTTGGTACAGGGATTTTTTAATTCCATACTTGGGTTTTTCTATAATACACAGTTTCAAGGAATATTTTAAAGACTCTTCTTATATGTGCCTATGTGTGTCTGTACATGTAGTACATTGTATTTTATGTCCACATGGTAAAGTCCTTGCGGAATCCTATTCAGTTTGGCTTATAATATAAGAGCACTCATACAAATTAACCTAAATGCTTTTCAAGTTCATATGACTTAAGTAAATCTTTGATAAATAACCTGGTATCAAATTTGTAAGTGAAATAAAATTTAAGATATTTTTTCTGTATTCCTGGTATGGCTACACTATAATACTTCTTTCATCTCTCACCAACAACTTCTTTGTTTTTTATCTGTTAGGCAGCAAGGATTGAACCTGCTTAAAGTCACTGGACATTGTGTATAGGGCCTCTTGTCTGACAATAAGCTCTCTGAAATATTTTGGGGTCTAGACAACTTCCTCATAGATCATATGACCTAATAAGTTCTACAGCCTCTGCCTTGCAGAATGGCTCTTAGGGTTAGAGTCAAGTCTGGAATTGATTTTGGAAGATTTTAATTGCCTAATGTTAATCAAACACCTTCAGTGCACTACCACATTTGCTTAAGAACTTTAATGGAAGGTGTGGTTTGGAATTTCACTGAGTTTAATGTATGAACTGTTTTGAGATTAACAATCCTCACAAAACTTACTCTTGGGCCACAACACAAAGACTAATCATAATCCATACTGCGTTTCTGAGTTTAAGATAAGCACACCACAATTATCAGCTCTTTGAAAATGTCTGTTATAGTGGAGATTTTAGTGTGATGGCTACTTTTGTGTCAATCTGAACTAAGAGATGCCCAGATAGCTAGTAAAACCTTTCTGGATGTGTCCATGAGGGTTTTCTGGAAGAGATTAATATTTGGACAGTATACTGAATAAAGACCTCTCCCCATGTGAATGGGTATCATCCAATCCATTGACCTGGATGGAAAAAGGTGGAAGGGTGAATTCTCTCTGCTTGTATTGGCATATCTATCTTCTGCCCTTGAATATCAATACTCTGCCTGGTTCCTGAACTTTGGGCTTGGTCTGTAGCTCTACCATTTGGTTTCCTGAGCCCTCAGCCCTGAGATGGTAACTCATGGAATTATCATTCTCAGCTTCCATAATCTTTTTTTTTTTTTTTGAGAGAGAGGTTTTTGCTATAGGGCACATGTGCTCATCCGACAGAGACAGACAGAAAGCGAGAAATCACGCCCTCCCCCCCCCAGGGGGGATGTCGATGCCGCAATCCCTTCTCCTCCATTCTCCTCTCAGTATCTTAGGCATGCATGCACACGCGCCCAACATGAGTTTTTAGCCACCAGGTCCAGCCCACGAACCGCAGTTGACTACGTGGGAGTCCAGCGACATAGCCATTACGCTAACTGCTGGTTGGTCCCAGCTTCCATAATCTTGTCAGCCACTCTCTCGTGCTAAATTTTTTTATATCCTGTTTTGTTTCTCTAGAGAATTCTAATACTTAGTACTGTGACATTACTGAAAATGGTATACAGAAATAGCAGTATGAAGATTGAATCTTTCCTACACATAAAAATAAATCGTACCTTTCCACTGAAAACTGGAACAAGATAAGGTTGTCCATTTTCTATGCTCCTTTTCAATATGCTATTTAAAGTTCTAGCCATCTCAATCAGACAAGAGAGAGAAATAAAAACATAAATAGGAAAAAAAGACTATCTGTATTTGCAGACAACATGATTACATACATAGAAAGCCAAAAGAATCCATGATAAATGGATCTCATGATAGATGGATAAATGAATTCAGTAAATTTGCAGAGTACAAATACCAATATACCAAATGATTTTAACTTTTTTATATACCAATAATGAATGGACTGAGGCAGAATAGTAGAAAGTAACCCCATTTATAATAGCCACAAAATTTGTGTGTGTGTTTATGTAAATCTATCCAAAGACATGAAAGACCTCTACAAGAAAAACAGAAGAAATTGAAAGTGACAGACCAGCAGATGGCATAGAGGTTAATGCAACTGGATCCCGATGGCCCACTGTGCAGTTTAAGTCCCAATCCTGGAGGCTTGAGGAGCATGCCAGATGTGTGTGCATGGATGCCAAAATTCTAAGAGAAGAATGGAGAAGGGACTGGCATGTGTGTGTGTGAGGGTGGGGGGTGAGGAGGTGATTTCTTTATCTCCAGTGAGTGCAAAAAAAGAAATTGAAAATTATACAAAGAAGTGGAAAAACATCCCTTGTTTTGGATGAGAAGAATAAATATAATTAAAATGTTCTACCCAAATTAATTTACAAATTCAAATTACTGGTGACATTCTTCACAGAAATAGGACAAACAATCCTAAAGTTTGGAACTGTGGAAGACCCTATATAGTCAAAGGAATACTGGGCAAAAAGAATAAGGTTAGATACATCTTACCATTCAACCTCAAGATACATTACAAAGCTGTGATAATCAAAACAGTATGGACTGGTGCCAAAAGTCATACAGACCAATGGAACAGAATAGAGAATCCAGAAATAAACCCAAAATTGCACAGCCAACTAATTTTTGACAAAAGGACACCAGCTGATTCAGTGGAGAAAAGAATATTGTCCTGCAGTAAAATGAAATTAAACCATTTCTCACCATTAACAAAAGTCAATTCAAAATGGGTCAATGATTTAAATGTAAAGCCTCAAACTACTGGGTTATTGGAAAGGTCATGACACTTTTTTTTTCCTATGCAAAAATGTGTCAGGACTTTTCCAACAACCCAATGTAAACCATTTCTGGAGAACAGGAAATGAAAGCAATGGAGTAGGCAAAGATTTTGTAAGACTTCTAAAGCATGGGCAACAATTCCAAAAATAGACAAGTGGGATTACATCTAGCCAAAAAGCTTCTGCACAGCAAAGGAAACAATAAAGAGCCCACATAATGGGAGAAAATATTTGCAAGCTATCCTTCAGATAAGGGATTAATAACCAGGATATATAAAGAACCCAAGCAGCTCATCAGCAGAAAAACTAATAATCCAATTTAAAATGGGCAATTGATCTGAACAGACAACTCCCCCAAAAAAAGACATAATAATGTCCAAAAGACACATGAAAAGATGTTCAACATCTCTCATCATAAGAAAAATGTCAGTCAAAACTCCAACAAGTTATCCGTAACCCCAAAATGGCTCTGATCAAAAGAAAATGCTGGCAAGGCTGTGCTGAAAAGGGACCTCTCTTGCACTGCTGGTGGAAATGTAAATTGGTATAGCCACTATGGAAAACAAAAGAGATCTTCCTCAGTTTACAGATCAAACTCCCATTCTCGGGACCAGCAGCTAGCGTAATGGCTATGTCGCTGAACTCCCATGTAGTCTACCACAGTTCAAGTCCCGGACCCGGTGGCTTAAACTCATGCCGGGCACATGTGTGTGTGCCCCAGATCCCGAGAGAATGGAGAAGGGATTGCGGTGTGGCTATCCCCCCTGGGGGGAGTGATTCTCACTTTCTATCTCTGTCTGTCTCTGTCTTTCTGGAGAGCACACGCACCCTATAGCAAAAACCTCTCAAAAAAAAAACCCAAAAAACTCCCATATGACCCAATCATGCCATTTCTGGGTATGTACCCAGACAGGAAATGACTCAACCAGAAAGACACTTGCATAGCCATGTTTATTGCAACATTACAACATTACTCACATCATTTCCTGTTCTCCAGAAATAGGGATGGAATCAACCTCAGTGTCTTAACAACCGAACACTGGATTTAAAAGTGTGGCACTTGGAATGCTACTCAGCCATAATTAACAATGGGATCTTGTCATTTGATACAAAACAGTCAAATCTATAGGTTTGTTGGAAAAGTCATGACGTGTTTTTCTATGCAAAAATGCATCAATGATTTTTCCAATGACCCAACAGAAGATGTAATGCTAAGTGAAACAAGTCAAACTATGAAGGACAAATGTTACATGTCTTTGTTCAATATATGTCAGATATCTGCATTCTATGGCAGAACCTGAGAGAAAAGAAGATACAGAAGTAGACAACTAGATACCAGAGACTGCATAGGGAGTGAGGATGGGGAGGGATAGGAGGATATCAGGAAAAAGGCATTTAGCAGACACAGGAATGCAGGTATTGGGCAAATGAGTTGTGGAATGGCATATTCACAACTGAGTGGGGAAAAAGATTAAAAAGAAACAGCCAATCTTATAAAATTAATGCTGCACATGTGTTCTTCTTGAAAACAATGAATATGGTATTATGATATCATGATCCCACACTACACACACACTGAAAATCCATATTGTAACTCATAAAGATGTACAATGAAATGTAAATAAATTATAAAATAAAAAAATTGTACCTCTCAGATTGCCATTTAAGTGACTGCTTAGTGCCTATCTCTTGAAGGATTTAGATAAGTAGATAAATAGGACACCAAGAAAAATTGCAAAGTTACTATGACGAAAACATCAAAAGGGTAACACTGATGTGATTTTAATCTGATAAATTGCTTTAAAAATTTCATACACTTAGTTTCATATAAGTGAGATGATTTAATAGTTCCATTTGAAATAAATTGACTTATTAGCAGTTGTGAGGAACAGTTTTTAGGCATCTGTTAACCTGAAAGCCTTAGACTATAAAGAGCTCCAAATACCCAGTCCGTAAGTGGCATGGAAATACATTTAAAGATGTCAGGATATTTAGGGTCAGTGAAGGTATTTATTATAGCTTATATTCTAGAATAGGGTCACCAAACTAAGGCCATTGGGCCAAAATTGGCTCACTACCTGTTTTTATAAGAAAGGTTTGCAAGCTAAAACTTGTTATGTCTTGAAATGATTGAAAACAATCAAAAGCCCCTCATGATGTAAAAATTATATGTAACCTGGATTTCAGTGTCGATTAAGATTTATTGGAAAACAGTCATGCCTGTCTACATCTTTTTATGGCTGCTTTCACACTGTAAAGGCAGAACTGAGACCATATGGTCCACAAAGCCTAAATTACTTATTATCTGGCTCTTTATAAGAAGTCTATTAACTCCTGTAGAACTTGTGGGGAATTTTACTCTTAAAACTTCCTGTAATAACATTTTATGATTGGTAGAATTCCAAGTACCCTTGAATTTTAAATTGACTTTACAGTCTCATAAAATATTATACAGAATCTGCATGGTGGGAGAGGGACACATAGTTCATGAATGCAAAGAAAAATTTACAAGCATATTAACTTAAAAATCAGTTTATCTTAAAAAAATTTAGAACCAGAAGAAACTGATTTTACATAAAAATATAACATTCTGTAGGTAAGTATTTTAAACATTACAACTGTTGGTTGCAGTATTTAAAAAGTTATAATCTTATAACCAGAGGAAAACATCTATAAAAAATAAATAGGCAACATAGAAATAAAATTTTTTACACGTGAATGATTAGTTTAGTAAATATGTATTCAATCTGTATTTGGAGTGTTGAATCAACATGAAAGTCTGTCTCTAGTTTGTTTAGTACATTACATGATTCGGCAGGTTTCAACTGGACAGCACTTTAATGGAGGCAAAACTAGACATTTCTATCTGAAGAGTGCAACTCATTGTGACCTGAACTAACAAATATATAAACCTGCACTTAAACACAGAAATGAACTCAAATGTTTCAGATAATACATTTCCAGCTGGACATCTTGACCAAATAGAAATTTTGGAAGAAACAAAACTATACAGCAAGTTTTTGAAAGTTATTAAAAATACTTGAAGTCTGTTTTCCTGATACTTTACAAATTTATAAAAGTAGTAATTAAAAATATTAACATTTCAAGTACAATTTTACAAATTTTACATTATTTACAAACCCTCCATACTAAAAGTTACATTAAAAATAAGCTTTCTTAAAAGATAAAATATAATTTAGTTTGTATTCAAGTATTTCTAAAGAGAATATAAAGTAATAATCACCTACTGCTATAGGTAGGGCAGAAAAGGCTAGTAAACACGTGGAAGATAAAATCTGGCCAAATCTGGTAACTGGATAAGGCTAGAATTTTTACAAGTGAAACATGTTCATTTTTAATCATTTACATTTTGGATAGCTTAGTAAAATTTATAGAATTGATCAAAATAATACATTTACTAATTAGTTTTGTTTATTAAATTAAGTTATATTCATGAAGTTTATCCACTTAGGAATGTTAAGAAATTTTAATTCTGATTCTTAGTTCTCTGGAATAAAAACATAAAACTATTCTGAATCATAATTAGCTTACCAGCTTAGTACAAAATGAAATGACACCTACTAAAATAAGGCAGTAAAGGTAACTTATTTTCACCATAAAGACACCATAACAATGAAAATTCTTCTAATTTTCGAACAAAGTCCTTTCCATGAAAAAGGGGTAAAGTTACTATTTGTTTAGAGGAAAAATAAAAAAGGGAGGATGCTTAATTAAACATTTCCTTAAAATTAAACCCTCTATATGAAAGGCAGAAATTTAATCAGAAAACTTAAATAGATTTTTCAAGTTCAAAAGCTTGAAAACCAGTAAAATGGGTTGACAACCTAGTAACAGCTAAGCAGAGAAAAATTTAGGCAGTGACATTCTTAATAAGAGGGTCCTAGGTTAATTCCTAACACTGGTCATTAGCAACCTAACGTAAACCTAACCAAAATAAAAACCTTTCACATTTCATATAAAATTAGAAAAAAAGTAAATAAATACACTAAAGTTGAAGTATTTTAACTTGTTAGCTTCCATGGCTGAAGTAGTACTCATGAACATATATAATAGTCAAAGACCTAATTTCTGTTAGACTTTCTGCAGATAACTTCAAAGAGCAAAATTAAGTTTTATCTGACTTTGAAATTTAAAAATTGTTAATCATTAAAGCAGTCAAATTCATGGAGTTTTTTTTTGTTTTGTTTTTGTTTTTGTTTTTTTTAGAGACATAAAGGGAAAATACACAGACTATCACAGAAGTCAAACACACATGGGTGAAGCCCTCTTTTGGTTACCCACTAGAAAGTGCTTCTTCATAAAGCAAATAATGCTTTGACTAGACGAACTATGTTATCACTTGATATTTTTCAGTTAACATAGTTTACCAATCTACATCTATGAGTACTGCTTAGTTTAATACTTACGGGTCTATTAGCCACATAATAAAAAGACAAATTTAATTATTATTCAACTGTCGCGTATGGGAAATGAATTATACACACCCTATTTTTCTGTTTTTCAAGGGATGTCAAGAATATTCAAAAGGAATTTCTAAAATATCCAATAAATTGATAATAAAATAAACATATATATATATAAAGTTAAAGTGATTAGTGGCTTAAAAATGCCATAAGATTTCATTTTTTTGTATTACTAGGTTTGGTCAGCAGGTTCCTATTATATTTTAATGGCCTCTGAGAATATAAACTTGCTAATTTCAATGTTTATCTATTACAATGAACACTAGATTTGTATCTTTGCTCTGAAGGGCAGTTTGAACCAAGACTGTTATATAACCCAGGCCTTAGCCCTCTTTACCTTTGAGACAGAGAACTGTCATTACAAAAACCACTGCTCTCTGGAAAATGGAGCTTGGGCCTCTGGTGGTATTTCAATCTATACGTATCAGTCATACAACTATCAACTGAAAAATAGGTAGTTAATGAAACTGTCTCATGTGGACACAGAGAATTAGGCTCTAGTTCTGGTTGGCAAGAAGCATCAAGTGTATCCAAGTTTGCCTGAAGATTGTCAGTTGGAGAGCTGGACGGGTAGTTTGGTGTGCTGCCAACATGCTCTTTCACTTGAAATGTTTCTTTACACCTTTCCTCACTCACATATGCACTCATTTCTAAACTTGGTTCTGAAGTTGTACTTGAACTGTGCTTTGGAAGACTAGAAGAACGCACCTTAAGCATCTCTGCAGGTTTGACATCAGATATAGATTCAGCTCTCTCTGACTGTGGCAAACTGGTTATAGCGTATTTCTTTGGTGGCAAAGGGGGTGGCAGATTCTGGTAAAGCAGTTTTGGCATCTGACAACCATCAGATCTGCAGGCTGACTGAACTATATGTTCCTTAGATGGCGAGTTCTCAGAGTAACATTGTTCCATCCCATTTTGCTGCTGCATGAGGGGAGGAGTTTCTGGCTTTATCCCAACAGTTCTCATGTGTGAAGACCACAACGAAGATGGTGAGACTGTTCCATTATTGTTCACTCTCTTCCCAGAAGCAGAACTACCATCAACATGAAAAGGCAAACCTGTCTTCTCAGAATTTTTCACATTAGGCCATTCTGAAAATTTGCATCCACTTGTTTTTTCCAATCTCTGTTCACCTGACTGGTGAATATGTTCTCTTGCAGTATTGTCCTTGAATATTTGGGGACTGGATGAAGGAAATAACTTTCCACTGGTTTCATGTATCTCTGATCTGAAATTGGAAAATAAATACAAATCTAAGGGCCAGCTCAGTTACCTGGTGGTTTCAGCAGCTGGATCCTGCATGGCTAACTGCCTTGGACATGGTGGTTTGAGAAACACACCGGGTACATGCACATGCGCACATGCGTGCACAAAATCCCAAGTGGCAGGAGAGATGGAGAAGGGATTGTGGCATGACCATGCCCCATGGCATGTGCTCTCCTTTCTTCATCTGTCTCTTTCTGCCAAGCACACGTGCCCTCTAGCCAAAACACAAAAGAAAACAACAAAGCCAAAACTCTACATGGAAATATGCAAAACTTGGGGGAAAAAAGCATAGTTTGTCCCAATATACTTTTTGGGGTAACATAATAACAAAAATGGAAAGATATTTGCAATCATTAATGTTTTCAACATTCCCCAAACCCAAAATCTTTATGCTAAAATATGTGAATACTTACTAAAAACTCAACATCATTACCAAAATCACATTTTATTAATTAGAAATGTAGTTTTAAAAACTCATTTCAATTTACAGATACTGAAATTACATTTATTTGTGATAAAATGCAGCAGAGAACTTAAGGAGAATGCTGCAAACAATACCCTACACCCTCCTCCACCAATATTCCAAAGTTTAAAGGCAACGGAGGTGGAGGTATTTATATTTTGATAGACAATGTTATAGAGATAGTATATTAATTTAAATAATGTTGTTAATAAAGATTGCCTTTATTTAAATAATAATTAACTTCTAAGGTGGAGATAAATGACAATACATTGCAAACTATTTTTCTTGGACAAATTCCATAGAAGTGAATTACAGCAGAATGATTAAAGAGTTGAGACTCTGCAAGTTAGCACCATGATCAAATCTCAGCTCCAAAGCTGTAGGGTACATTACTTAATCTAAGTGTCAAATTTTCTCTCTTGCCAAACACTACCTCATAAGAAGGCTGTGAGGATTAAAACAGATAATTAGGCGTTGTGCCTGGCATTGTAGACCCTCTGGTCATTAGGTCCACATTCCCAACAAGGCAGTATCACAATAGTACTGACCCATGTTTTCAGAGTAGTAATGTGTACATGCGTACACCCTTCTGGTAAGTACAATGTTCCTATATACATGCCTTTAGGGAAAAAGGTTTTCCTAATTCCAAATATTTATGATTACCTTTTTGTCAAATGATTTTTCATTTGTAGATGTGATTCTGGATGAAACTCATGGGATTTATAGCCTGCTTCCGAGTTCTTGAGTTCTTTTTTAAAACCTAGGGATAGGAGATGTGGAGAAGAGGAAAGCAAAAATATGTCAATAATCTTATAGAATTTATTTCATTTTTACTTCTCTATATTTGTAAAAGGATATCTATCAACAGGTAATTCTTTCCTCATTAAAAAATAAAAAAGATTCTCCAACTCTTTTTTGAACCCTTTATGTAAAATGAATGTTTTTTTCTTCAGTTGATCATCACTTGAGGGTGCTGAAATGCTGAACAGTGCCATTCCTGAGGGTTATGCAGGACTGTGTATGTATTTTCTCTGTATTATGAAATATGAACTTTACTGACAGTGTTATGATGGAAAAGTCCTGCATTTGAAGAAAAAACTTGGGTTGAAGTTTGTATTCGGTATTTAAGAGCTAGTAACTTTAAGCTTTTATAATCTTAACCTTTTATAATCTCAAGTTACTCATGTATGTAATGAGGTAATGAGAATCCATTTTCCCTCCCTCATAACAATATTAGGAATATCAACTGAATTACAATGGGTGTGAGGAGGAACCAGCAGGTGGCATGGTGGTTGAGGCCTTGGAGTCATGGCTGACCATGATTTGAGTCCTGGACCTAGCAGTTGGCTTGCTTTCTCTCCCCATCATTCCAGGGAGTGCATGTGCCCTCTAGGAAATGAAAAATAAATAAATTAATTAATTAAATTAAATGATTCTTTAAAAAAACTGGGTGTTAAGGTATTAGGACAACACATAAAATATACCACTGCTAATTAGTTACCATATATTGACTGCTTGGTTAAGTTGTGAGAAGTTGATATTATTTCCTCTTTACGACCTCAGGAAGAATTACTATCATCTTTTTCATGTTACAGATGAGGAGAAGAGAGGCTTATAAATGGCTAGCAAATGCAAAAGCTAAATTATGATTCAAAAATCCATGTTCTGAACCGTGTCATATGGTCTCCTTGTAATTGTTACTTACCCCCAGTCCTGACATAAACTAGGCACCAAATAGTGTTTTCATTTAATTTTAATAAAATAAAATAAAATTAGACACACTAGTTTACAGTGTGTCTCTTTTTACTTCTAATACTGGTACACTATAAGAGTTCAGATTCTATATCTTCCCTCCTTTTTTTTTTTTTAGCTAAAGCTGTGTAAGATTTGGGCCTAAAACCAACCTATAAGCACCACCTAAAGATAAAAAGATAGCAGATCTACTATCAACTATTTCCCTCTGTACAATAGTCCTGGGGAAGTTCACTAGAGGATCTTAAAATTATATCTATATTTGGATATCTTTCATCAAAATGCTACTTTAAAATAGCTATAAGTTTAATTTCCTGACTATAGATAACGTAAACCCTTAAGAGAAAAGATTAGTTTAATCAAGGTGAAGAAAATGGAAACTAAGACTTTTGGATTTATACAGGTGTTTACTTAAAACTATCCCATTTTTGTTGTTGTTTCTAGGGTTTTTAAATTTTTTTAGAGATTTTTGCTGTGGAACACATGTACTCGTCAGAGACACAGAGAGAGACAGAGAGAGTAAGCAAGAAATCATCCCCCAGAGAGATGGCCACACCACAATCCCTTGTCCTCTATTCTCCGCTAGGATCTTGGGCATACGCATACATACTCCTGGTGTGAGTTTTAAGTCACCAGGTCCGAGACTCAAACTGTGGCTGACGATGTGGGAGCCTAGTGACATAATCATTATGCCTTCTGCTAGCCCCATTTTGTGTTTTGTACAAGCTACTTTGCCTTAGGGTGGTGCTTGCTGAAGAGACAGACAGTGAGAAACAAAGTAAGAAATCACCCCCTAGTGAGGATGGCCACACAGCAATCCCTTCTCCTCCCAGGACCTTGGGCACATGTGCACACATATCCAGGTGATTTTGAAGCCACCGAGACTTTACCTGTGGTTGGCCATGTGGGAGTCTAGCGATGTAACCGCGACAACATCTGCTGGCCCTGAAAACTATCCTAGTTTTTAATACTCCCTGAGGGGACAACAAGTGTTTTATATCTGAGAATCTGAAAGGGTATAGGAAGGTTTATCTTTTGGTAAGCATAAAGGACCTGAGACACCAGTATCCTGCTTAAAAAATCAGAAGAACTGGGACCAGCAGATGGTGTAATGGTTACGTCATTGAACTTCCACATGGCCAACCACAGTTTGAGTCCTGGACCTGGCAGCTTGAAACTCACGCCAGGTGCATGTGTGTACATACCCAAAGTCCAAGAGGAGAATGGAGAACAAGGGATTGTGGTGCGGCCATCCCCCCAGGGGGTGATTTCTTGCTGTCTCTGTCTCTATCTCTCTGATGAACACACGTACCATATAGCAAAACTCTTAAAAAAAAAAAAAAGTAAAAAGTAAACACCAAAGTACACATACAAAACACATATGTATCTTTGGAGTTTAGTAACTTAAGTATCACCCATTTATTTTACAAATGAAAACTAGAAAATTATATAACATTATTTATGTAACCCCACAATAATAATATCTACAATTTTTGGAATGTCCAGTATGTACCGAATCTTAGTTAAATACTCCTCAAAATATGGCCCCAGAAACCTGGGGATCCCCAAAACCCTATCAGGAGGTCTATGATGCCAAACTATTTTATAATAATACTAAAAAGTTACTTGTTTTTGACTGTGTTGACATTTACTCTGACGGTGCAAAACGAAAGATAAATAAAATTTCTAGCATAATTCAAGGCAATTGTGCTATACTATGAATAGTAGTATTTTTGTTTTACCTTCCTTCCTTTCTTTCTTTTTTAAAGATTTATCTCATATAACTTTACTTACTTATTTTTAAAATTTGACCAGAAAGGGACAGAGTGAGAGAGAGTGAAAAAGCAAGCCCCAGATCCAGGAGTCGAACCACAGTAGAACATGTGGGAGTCCAGCACCCACAACCACCATGCCACCTGCCGGCCCCAAGTTTATTTATTTCTTCCATGAGCAAAAGAGACAGAGAGAAAAGGAAGGAGGAAATGGACAGGGGAAGAGAAAGGGAGGACAGGAAGGAGGGACAGATACATAGGACACTGCCCCCATGCTGTGATCCAACCTCAGTTTTAAGCCAGTACCAGATCACCAACATGTGACCAGCATACTCAGGGAAGTCTTCAGGCTTGAACCCAGAATCTTCTGGTATGGGACTGCCTCACAGAGCACCGTGTTTAACTGCTATGCTACTGCCTGCCCATGATAATTATAGTTTTCATTGCCACATGCTTGTGGCTTAAAATAAAAATGCAGTTTCATGTAAGAATGCTTAATAATGCAGTTAAAATCACATATTTATATTAATTTACCTAATTAACACATCTTATTATTCTGTTTGAGAAATGCAAAGTATGCACAAAGTATTTTTGCTGTATTCTCAAGAATGATGGTCTGAAAAGAAAAACAAATATGTACAGGATTGAGTTATGAGCCTAATTTAGCTGGTTTGATCATGGAACACCATTTCTATTGAGTTGTCAGAAAGTCATGAAGCAGTTTTGCATAATAAAACAGAAAAATACATCATGACTTTCCCGATGAGCCAATACTTGAAACACCCTGGACAAACTTTGGTTATTCATACTGGGTATTGGCAGAAATATTCTTAAAAATGGAACAGGGGAACCTCTCACTTCAAGGAAAACAATTGGCATTATTTATTGCCAATAATAAGGTTCATTCTTCTAGATAAGAACATCAAAAAACTAACACCAGCAGATGGCATAATGATTACATTGTTAGACTCCCATGTGGTCAACCGCTGTTTGAGTCCCGGGCCTCACCCCAGGTGAGCGTGCGTGTGTGCCCAAAATCACGAAAAGAAAATAGAGAAGGGATTGCGGTGTGGCCATCCCTCTCTTAGAAACTCTGTCTCTCCGGAGAATGCACACACCCTATAGCAAAAATCTCTCTTAAAAAAATGTAAAAAGAACTTTGGCAAACTTCTATATACTGTCATTAGTGCCATACTAATAAAATCTTAAAAATAAAAGACAATAAAATTTATCACAAAGAGTCTCTCTGACAGAACATTTCATTTTTCAGGCTTAAGAAAACAGTTCTGATAAGTTTGGCACACTGTGGCTCAAAAATTTTTGCCACTCTTTTAACAACATTGTATGTTTCTGTTTTTTTGTTTTTTTTTTTAAAGAGGGGTTGACACATGGCACAGCTATAATGAGGAATGTTTTGTGATACTGGACCCACATGGGAAGGTCCAGTATCACCAACTCCTTTGGGGGAGTTTTCATCCCCCAAAAGTCCCTGTAATGTGTCCACACCAGGCCCACACGCGTGCCTGTAATCCAGGCGGGCCGAGGCTGGCAGTGGATTACAGTGCAAATTACACCCCCTGGTGGGATGCCTGTTTCTCTTTCTCATGGAAGAAATGAATATAGTTTTTTTAAAAACAAAAAAGATGTAATAAGTAATAAGACATCAAAAAGTACCTCATGTTTTTTAATGTCTATAATTTGAAAAATTTATTAGTTAAAATTAATTAAAATTTCAACCTGCTGTGACTTTTTAAACTTCCAAATATTTATCTTAGTTTGTGGCTTATATTTTCAGGTTTAATATTAACAAGAAAAAAAAAAAACTTAAAAAAAATAATTCTTTACTTTTATTAAAGTATTCACACCACGGACAGCAGGAGGCAGCAGAGGTTTTATAAAGGAGTTTGCAATTTTAGTATCATCTGGCGGGTGTTCAACCAAATGGCTTGACTTCAGAATTCCAACTAACTTAAAAATAGATGTGTTATTTTTCTCTTCTGCTGACACAGACATCTATGGATCTTTATGAGGAGTTTTGGCTCTAGGTTCTTTGCAAATCTAAGGCAGTATGGTTTGAGTAGTTCTCACAGAATAAGCCTCAAGGTTGAGGTAAGAAGCTTTCATTAGTAATGTTAATGTTGATATCAGATCCAAAAAATCCAAAGCACATTATTAAAAAAATCGAAATATATTATGTCATCTGAAAAAAATGACTTGGTTTAAAATAGGCTCATAT